TTAGTACGTCTGTCCTTCCACATGTGGGTTCTAAATGCCCTATTTTGGGGCCTTCTTTTTTATCTTATAACTTGATACTAGCGGTTGTGCAACCATTTCTCTTATTTTTTCGCCTTTCTAGAATTCACCCTACGTAGTGCTCATCCATGTATAGTTAAAGGGGTCTCTGTGGCAAAGTGCTCAAGCTGTTTGCCCCACGCTCTGAAGGTTGTGGGTTGGATTCACGGCGGCGCCTTTCAGTTCACGAGTGCAATTTTTACGGAGATCTCTGGGGATCATCGCTAGAGCTATGGAGGTCATGCTGTATGCAACGCTCTCGGCAGGCAGCTAGCTGTTCTGCAGAGAGAGAGACTGAGCCATATGGGATAAAACCTGGTGCAATGAAGTCAATCCTTTTACCTTTACCTTTTTACTCTTAGAGCTTGATCAAGACAATAAAGACTTTTTTGTTTAAGTTTTTCCTTCCAGATTTGCAGTCTGTGGGATTAAAATCTCGAGGATGAGAATCAAACAGGTATAAATCCCAGTAACATCGTTTAACCAAATAGCACAGTTGTACTGGGGCACTACAGAAAGGTTACGAGCTAACCTGTAGTGCAGTGTTGGTAGGTTGTGTTGGTTTAACACTATATCCTGAATTTACTACACTGATGATGATGTAGAAATGGGGTTCTTAACACTTTTTTCCTTTAACAGTGATTCCATGTAAGAATTTATTTATTGATGACATAAATGAGATTATATTTTTTTTTTCTATCTTCTGCCCACACAAACCTGTTTATTTCTGCACTGCTTTGAAACCTTTTGTTGATATATTTCACCTTCAGCCTGTGTAAATACGATGCCTGTAAAATTATTGGTTGTGCCGTTATTTTCTTCAAGCAATATATAATCAGAAAATGCATATTTGTGTTTCATAGACAGATTGCAGATATGGTTTTATAGTGTGGCTAGTGCACCAGCTTTTAAACACACTGGTCCATGGGTCGGTTGTGGGTTGGTTTGTGAGTCATCTGGAAGATTGCTTAAACTCTTTCATTCCTAGATGGTTGTGACTCCAACTGCTAGCCGAAGAAGTTGTTGCTTTATACTGATCAGTGTCGCGTATAAAGGAGTTAATAATAGGGCACTAGAACAGAAAATAACTACATGTGAAATGCGATGTCTTTGCAAGGTCACAAACAACACAAGAAGAGACAGGGTTACAGATACCAGCATCAGAGAAAAGGTTGTGATATGACTATGTCTGGATTATATTGGCAGACAAAGAATGAAATGGTTCAGCCATCTAGTGAGAATGCAACCATATCAAACTGCATATGAGACTTTTTACAGCAGAACATCTGGGAGGAAGGTGAGAGGAAGACTAAGAAAGAGATGGATAAACGGTGTAGCAGAAACCTGCAAAAAAATGAACAAATCCATCACCCAAGCCTTCCAAGAAAAGCAATACAAATACAGAAAACCATTACACTGGGCTACAACCTGGTATCAGCGAGACAACAAAGCCACAACACTGGGCTACAACCTGGTATCAGCGAGACAACAAAGCCACAACACTGGGCTACAACCTGGTATCAGCGAGACAACAAAACCACAACACTGGGCTACAACCTGGTATCAGCGAGACAGCAAAACCACAACACTGGGCTACAACCTGGTATCAGCGAGACAGCAAAACCACAACACTGGGCTACAACCTGGTATCAGCGAGACAGCAAAACCACAACACTGTGCTACAACCTGGTATCAGCGAGACAGCAAAACCACAACACTGGGCTACAACCTGGTATCAGCGAGACAACAAAGCCACAACACTGGGCTACAACCTGGTATCAGCGAGACAGCAAAACCACAACACTGGGCTACAACCTGGTATCAGCGAGACAACAAAGCCACAACACTGGGCTACAACCTGGTATCAGCGAGACAGCAAAACCACAACACTGGGCTACAACCTGGTATCAGCGAGACAACAAAGCCACAACACTGGGCTACAACCTGGTATCAGCGAGACAACAAAGCCACAACACTGGGCTACAACCTGGTATCAGCGAGACAACAAAGCCACAACACTGGGCTACAACCTGGTATCAGCTAGACAACAAAGCCACAACACTGGGCTACAACCTGGTATCAGCGAGACAACAAAGCCACAACACTGGGCTACAACCTTGTATCAGCGAGACAACAAAGCCACAACACTGGGCTACAACCTGGTATCAGGGAGATGACAAAAGAAGAAGAAGAATTCATCTTGGCTACACTCATCCTGGAAATAGGACGGATGTCTCCTTTGAAGTTGGTGTGTATCTGCCTGTTAGGCAAGGAAACAACCAATTTTCACACATCTGTAGAACAGATCAACATGCAAAACTCAAGTCCTGAAGCAAAGCCAGTGTCTGAAAATGGACAACAACCAGGACTTTACACCAGAGTTTACAGTAACCAATAATTCTATGAAATAGAACGAGTTAAAATAATGATAGGAAAGAGATGGTTAATGTAACAATTGGACAGGATACTAAGAGTGGGGGAGGGGGGGGGGAACCCTCAGATACACAGATGCTAAAGGATGCTTGGTACTGAGAGAGTTAACAGTTGATACATTGGTGTTGAGGTCATTTGAGCCCTGACGAGAGTTTCCATTTGTTAAAGTGAGGTACTGAAGTACCATCTCCAAAGGGATTGTGATAATGAGCTCTCCATTTCTCTAAGGTCAGAAACCTGAACAGTGTTGAATTCTTCCTGTGCTGAGAAGCACACCATCCATTTATTGGTTAGTTCAAGGACAATATATTTCCAATTTTCTTAAACCAAGCCCTTCGTTTATTGAAGCGTCTATGAGTGCTGTAGGTACTAGACACTCGCCTCAAGCCAGAAGGATGAAGGCTCAAATCCACACTCAGTTGGAATTGGGGGGGGGTGGGGGGGGGGGGGGGGTTGAGTGGTCTCAAGGCATGGCGTCTGCCTTGAGTGCTGGAAATCCCGGGTTAGGCCCCAGGTCTGTGGGTAGTAAGATCAGATGCCCCTGTGTATTGTTGCGCACATAAAAAATCCCTAGGCAACTGGAAATCAAAAAGAGTAGCTTAACGGTGCTGCATGGACAAAATTTTGAGTTAAAAATATACCCAAATTAGTTTAGGATCATCGCTGGTGCTACGGAGTTCGTGCACTGCACAGAGATTCTTCGGATTTAGGCTTGACTTGTGAGTAGAACGGAGCACTTATGAGTTACTACCCTTGTGTGATGATGTTGATCCACTGTTCAAACCATCAAACCTTCATTTATTGGCTGTTTAGTTTTTCTAGGCAATTTTACATTCTGTAGTTTGCCATTGCTTTCTGGAAAGTATGACTGACACTGATAATATTGTCAAAATTGATGCACAGCAGTCTAGTGACTGACCAGCATTGATAAAATAATAGTTTATCAAGAGACAGCAAATGGTCTGGGACTCCTTACACATCTTAGGAGAATATCTGAGAACTCGTTAAAATTATCTTGTCATCCATTTAAAGGATGCAATTTTGCGTTATTTGAAGCCTTACTCTGGCTCTTGCCAGGGGCTGCAATATAGCCCGGCCATAAATATGGTCTGTGGTTTCTGGTACCTCTCCACGGTGATCCTCATCCACATGGTGGCACTTTGTGTCATCCGGTGTTTATCGCTTGTGTGATATTCTGGTGGGGTAAAAGAAGACAGAGAACAACTCATTAAAAGGATAAAAAATTAATTCTACCCAGGAAGTGTTTAAAGATAGGTTATATAGATTTGGTTGTGATTTCCTTTCTCCCAGTTTTGTGAACGTAATGATTATTATAATTTTGTTGTGATACATAATTATTTTATCATTATCATATCATATTTCACATATGCAGGGAACCATCTCAAACATAGCATCATCATCATCATCATGTGATTGCCAAAGAGTGTAAGTATTCATGTCTATGCATATATTTCGGCTTTTGATGCTGCGGATTAGCTCAATTAATAACATTCCTTCATGTCACATTTTTAAAATATCCAGCATCATTTCTCAGTCTGCTTCAGTTTCTTCTACTTCTGGTATTTCTAGTCATTAATGTGGTCTCCAATGCTTCTCTTCTCATATTACTAAACATTGTCTCCTTCTTAAACTTGCATCCCCCCCCCCCCCTTTCCCCTTTCTTTCCTCCTTCCCTTTCCAGGCAATCATTAGTTACTTTACCAGTCCATGAAATCCACGTTTGTCTCTTCCTCTTCTTCTTCCTTGTGTTTACTGGCTGTAAACTAAGTCAAAAAGTACTGGGTGTTCGTCCAGCTCTGGAATGTAATCTTGTTCCAGAATCTGAGTCTTGCATGGACATCTGTTTCACACATCTGGCTAATTTGTATGCAGACTCTTGGTCCCTTGCCCCCTTTTTTTCACATTCCAGTATTTACCATTATACAGTAGAAGAGGTTCAGTAATGTTTGTTGCCACCTTTCAATGTAGCCAGACTAATTTAGACTGTGTGTTAGTATTATGTTGATTCAAGAACCCACATCACAGCACTCACTGCATTCCAGTAAGTGCTCCGTCCCTATCTTCAGCAGCTATTGCAGAGTTCCAATACCAGTGGTACCTGTAGCATTCTCATAGTACCTCCGTCTTGCCTTTCCTCTAAGCTTCCAGTATTAGCCAGATCCCCTCATCACTTCCCACTGCATCACTCAGCCGACTGGTGATTCATTTGCTCCTCCAAATTTGGACTGTATTACGGGGAAGATTGGGAATCAGAGACTGTGGAGATGGTGAGTGTGACTAGCAAGCCCCGCTCATAGTAAGAAAATCTTCCACAATTAGAGCATGAAATTTATATATAAGATACATATATTTTTGTATAGATTTATATTTAACTGTATTCCATTTCATTCCTGCAGCATTCGTCAAGAAGTTATTGTAGAGAGAGATAATTGCACGTGCACACACACATGCATGCATGTACGTACGTGAACTATAACAGGATATTCACATTAATAAGTATATAATTTGGTTTTATTTATGTGTGCCTCAGGACATTCACGAGACTTGTTATAATAGTAATAACATCCATCCCGACCAATAAGTTTCTTTACGTATCCATTACCTGGCCATCTGTCTACCTGCAAAGGTGATTTGAAACATAGTTATTAATATCGGTAAGTGCATAATTTACATATTTAGTTAATCTAAACGCATAAAAATATCTGTATTTGGAAGTGTAGGTGCACAAAACCTACATACATGTTTATGATTACCCCTGGAGGGTTTCAGGGCACTATTCTGGGGAAAAGGGGAGTAGGGAAGAATAGATAACACTGCTTTCATGTCAAGCATGTCATAAAGGGCAACTAATTAGAGATTTTTCTCTGGGCACACCTGCCTGAGAGGCGAGGAACCAACAGTCTGCATACAAATTAGCTGATCTGTAAAATGGATGTGCACATATCACATCAGCGACTGGTAGACGACTTCATCACTGATCGAGACAGTATTCGGGTCTGTCTCTTTTGATAGCATCTACACAGCAAAAGGCCTTTTCAGAGCTATTTGGTGGTGAGCAATACTGAGCCATTTTATATGGCGCAAATAACTGGTTGAACATGCTTTTTTATTTTGTTCAAAAACGGATGGATGGATGGAACGGATATGCATACAGAAGTTATGGCAAGACCAAAGTCTAGAAGTGGACGAACAACCAGAACTTTCTACCAGAGTTTACAGCTGGTGAACACTAACAAGAAGAAAAAGACATGTGACTGAGTGTATGTAAAGCTGATAAAACACAGACACAAAAACAAAAGATAATTACAGAAAATGCTGACAACAGTATGCATATATGCCTCACCTTGTATTATCATCTGATACTTTAAGAACTGCCATATAAAATAATGGAGAAAAATAAACACGAAGAACAAAAAGGATCATCATCACCTCTTTAGAGGGATTAAAGAATATCATGCTAATCCAATTATTTTTATAGACCAATCTGCCTTGGTCATTTCAATTCAATTTAATTTTAACCTTGACCACGTTCAACTAAGGGTCGGAGAGCATTGCAGCTTTCTGTCCTGTCCGCTATATTAGTGGTTACAGGTCAGACTGTCATTATATACTCTCTTATTCCAGTTTCGTCCTTTTCAGGACGAAATTTTTTGTCATTTGAAGCCCTACCCTGGCTTTTGCCAGGGGCCGCAATATAGGCAGGCCATAAATATGGCCAAATGTCTGAACGCGGTTTCTGGGACCTCTCCACGGGTGATCCTCATCCACATGGTGGCACGTTGTGTCATCGGGTGTTTATCGCTTGTGTGATGTCCTGGTGGGGTAGAAAGTCAGTCAGTCAGTCAGACTGTCATTAAATCAGGTTTTCCTTCGTGTTGTCATTTTGCTATCACTCGTGGTTTGTTATGGATCGTATCTGGCTGTTCTTACGCTGCGTTCTGGATCGTTTTGTTGGCTGCTCTGCTGTCATGGCGGCTTAGGGTGGGTTTGATTGGCCGGCCGGTGAGTCCAAGGAGGGGGGTACTGCTTGCCCTGAGAAGGACTGGCAGTTTGTTGCCTGGGGCGGCACTGTGTCCAGTTATGGGTGGATTCTGGTGCTGTTTTGGTGGGCCTTTTTAACCTTGGCTGTCTTTTGCTGATTGAGCACTGGGTTTCAAGTGGTTTGGTGATGGGGATATTGTCTCTGGCATTAGTTTCAGTGCTTGCTGCATTTTCTGCCAAATTTTAGTGCCCAGTTCAGTGTTTGGGTTGGTTCGCCTGGGGACCACGGTACTTCGTCTACTGGTTGGCTTGAGTGGAAGTAGTCTGCTTCAGGTAGGACATCATCTGGTGGGTAGATCTAATTCAATATGTCGTTTCTGGTCGCGTCTAGTTTCATTTGAAGTGCCTTTATGCGGTCTAGACGCACCAATCTGCCTTGGTAGGGTTACAAATCTTTATTTTGTGCTGGCAGGCAAGCTGTGAGGCTACCATGCTATCATATCTCCCATGTATAATTTTAGTTTTATTTATGGTTTTATTCTTGTGACACATATACATTAAAGATTCTTGTTACATTTCTTGAAACATTTTTTATTGTTTGTTATATATTGTTTACCCCCACATGGGGTTCGGGAGGCTTCATTGTAAGGGGGTTGGGGAGGGGGGGGGAATAAACCTACTACCCCATAACAAGCATGTCAGCTAATTAGGGATGCTTTCTTTGAAGTCAGAATGCATTTGCCTGAGAGGCAAGAAACCAACAGTCAGCATACAAATAAGCCAGAACTGTAAAGCAGATATGCATGCAAAACTCAGGATATGGAAAAAGACCAACGTCCAGAAGTGGATGAACAGCCCAGAACTTTCTGCCAGAGTTTACAGCCGGTGAATGCGAAGAAGATGACATATTGTTAAGCAGCCTTCTATTTGGAAGTGTGTGTGCATGATTCTTATTTATACCTTTGTTTCTAATCACAAACGTGTAGTCTTCCTGTAGCTTGGTCATTGTTCATAGATAAAAGTGGTGTAACTGAAGTATGAGGTACTTGTTTATTGTATAGTATATATGTTCTACTTAATTAATTATGCCGTCACCACAATGGAAGTTTTGCTGTGGGAATGTTACATGGTGGGGCCCCAGTCTCTTGTCTGAGAGTCACAAGAACAGTCCTTTTCTAAACTGACCACTACAGCAGTCAAGCAGTGGTAAATTTTGAGGATTGTATTGTAAAACCATTTCTGCTCTACGGCCAATGGTTATTTCTATTTACTGGTGAAACACACAAATATTACTGGCCCACAGTTATATTTCTTCTTCCCCCCCCCCGGCCAAACAAACAGCATAGGCACTTAGTGGTTCTATTCAGGTTTTTCACCCCATCTCATCTGGTACAAGATTTTTAAGGGAATTTCCTAAAACTTTCCTACAGTCTTAGGGTGTTATGGCCTGCTTTTGTTTGGCATGTCCATATATATATATATATATATATATATATATATATATATATATATATATATATATATATATATATATATATATATATATATATATATATATATATATATATATATATATATATATATATATAGGTTATTCGTCCCCCTCTAGTCTTTTGTTCTTGTTCCAGTTACCTTCATGCAAGGTAACAGAGAATGTGCAGCATTTTTTAAATAGGTGTTCTTCTCTTCTACCTCTCAAGGACAGCAGGGTAATACTTAGAGTAGTTATGTAGGGTCCCCTAATTTTAACTTTTTAACAAATTGAATGGGATGTCTGGATTTTGTCTGCTTGGACTGACACCCAGGAAGGAGTGCACAGTGCATCAGCACCAACAATGATGCATATGACTCAAATTGGTCAAGACCTGTATACACCTGTCCATGGTCATCCTAGAAACAGGTTCCCTATCGGAGGCCTGGCCAGTGTAGATCATCATCATCATCAGTGCCTTACCAGCTGGCGTAGGCATTCATGCATCTCCACAGATCTCAGTCTGTAGTGTTCTGGATTAATTCCACTCGCAATATTCTTCCATGCCGCTGTCTTAAGCCATCTACCATCATTTCTCTTGGTCTGTCTCTTCTACTAGTGAACTGTCCAGTTGTCACAATATTTACTGCCATTCAACAGAACAGGTTTGATATAACATTTCAGTACTCATTTTCTGATGTTTAATAAGATTGATTTATTACAATGTAGATGGGCTCCACATTTCCTTTGAAGTCAGAGCACATCTTCCTGAAAGGGAAGGAGCATAAAGTCTGTATGAAATAAGCCAGTTCTGTGAAACTGGATATACATACAACACTAACGTCCTGAAACAAGAAAAAGCCTAGACTCTGATGACCACCCAGGACTTTCTGCTAGATTTTACCACAGGTGAATGTTAACATTAAGTTTAGTTGATTCAAGAACCAACATCACAGCACTGGGGGCATTCCCATAAGTGCTTCATTCCCATCCTCAGCAGCCAGTGAAGAGTTCTGATACTAATAGTGCCAGTAGCATTCTGATTAAACGTCTGTCTTGCCTTTCCTCTGAGCCTGGAGCATCTGCCAGAACCTCTCTTCACTCCCCGCTGCCTCAATCTCACCAGACTGTGGTGATCCATCTGCTCCTTGGAACTGTACATGTTCTCCCACAAGGCACTAACCACGTCTGCCTTATCATGCATCAGTTTCCATCAAGTTGTGCTGAGCCAGCCAGTCTGTCCGTCTGTTACTTTCCCAACACACCGGCCTGTGAATGTTAACATTAACATCATCGAACATTTTGGATCGCAGGCAGCAGCTCAGAGAGGGTAAAAAAAAGACAGAATCGGAAGGCAACTTACAAAATCAGTTTTCCTGACTTCCTTGTATTCAGTTTCATCTCTATAACCAGCTTGTTGAAAGCGGTAAGCCTCTTCTACTTCTTCGTTCCAGTGGTTAGGGTGCATGATTGACTTTGGATGACTGATGGAGGGCATTTTTGAGCCTGCATGTATCGAAAACAGTACAATAGGAAATACTAATCACAAATTTCAAATTAATTATAAATGACTACATCTGAATATCAATACTTACTACTAATGAATTACAACTTAGCGATTCCTACCTATGAATTAATTAGAAATTAGAATTTGAGAAAACCATTTAGGCATTATTAACTTTTTGGTTAGTTGTGTTTGAATTCTCTATAAGACATCTTTTATTCTTAAAATGTTGAGAGAGATGGAGATCGGTATGCTCCGTGAAGAGTGGCAAGCATTGGGGTCCTGGGTAGTTAGCATCCTTTGGATATTTTCCCAGGATATGGCAGTGTATTAGGAAATGAACAGGCAGGTAGATCAGCTGGTTCTACACAACTTGATGGTGAACTGGTGCATGGCAAGTCTGATGTTGAAAGGGCTCTCCGGGGGAGGGGGGGGGGGTGAACAGTTTGGAAGCACAGATGGTTCATCATGGTCTAAAGAGAATGGTAATGCGAGAAGTGACCGGGAGTTCAGGTCGATGATCAGCACTCAAGAGAAAGGTGAGATGGGTATACAGTCAGACTGCTATTGGTACAACTGGAATTGGAACTCTGCGCTTGCTGCTGAAGATGGGGATGGAGCACTTATGGGAATGTCCCAAGTGTTGTGATGTCGATTCTTAATTAAACATAAATTTTTTAATGTGTGCATTGGTATTCGGGTTATTTCAGTCCTGAAAATGACAGGCATGTATGAGAGTTAGGTTTATGTAACCAGTACTGGAGTAATAACTCTGTAGGTACTGTGTTGCAGAGCTCTCTTTTCCATCTTAAAACTCAGAAAAATGCAAGTTGTGCGATTACATACTGAAATTTTAAATATACTGAGACGCATGGCAAATCTTGGAATATGGTGGATAGGTCCCTCCACAAATAGATGACAATGCGGAGGACAAGGGTGAGGAGTATTGTCTTGATTGTTTCCCTGGGATACGGCGGTGTGTTGGGAAATGAACAGGCTGACAGACTGGATGGCTCAGCAAAACTTGGTGGAATACTGATGCATGATAGGGTAGACATGGTTAGTGCCTTGTCGTGTACATTTCAGAGGAGCAGATGGATTACCAGTCTGGTGAGATTGATGCAGCTAGGAGTGATGAGGGCTTCTGACAGATGCTGGAGGCTAAGAGGAAAGACAAGACTGACGTTTAATTGGAATGTTACTGGCACCATTAGTATCAAAACTCTGCACTTGCTGCTGAAGATGGCGATAGAGCGCTTATAGGGATGCCCTGAGTGCTGTGATGTCGGTTCTTGAATCAACACAACTCAGAGATGACACAAGAAAAATGATAACAATGGAGATAAATCATAGCAGGGGCAAAGCTGATGCCAGGCAAGCAAGAGGTAACCTTGAGCACAGAAAGGGGGCAGCCACTTGTCGCCACATCAACCAGAACAGAATGAGAAGTTCCCCTGTGTGGGTTCCGGGGCCCCATTGTGGGGAAAACAAGAATAGACCCACTGCCTCCCCAAAAGCATGTTGTAAGAGTCAACTAATTGGGGAGCTTCCTTTGAAGACGGAGTGCGTCTGCCGGAGAGGCAAGGAACCAACAGTCTGTATTCAAGAGAATGAGATCTGTAAAACTGATGCACACGCAACACTCAGGTTCTGGAGCAGGACTGCAGTTCAGCAACCAGAACCTTCCGCCAGAGTTTACAGCTGGTGAACGCGAAGAAGAAGAAGAAGAAGAATGGGAGTTGTTAACCAAAAAACACTTGGAGACACACACTCAGGAGGAGATCGGAGCGCTTATGGTCATGCGAGATAAAGATGATCTTTAAATGAACAATGAGGGTGGAGGGGTGTTACAGCATGAAATATTAACAATTTGGAGCAAAAATACAGGACAGTCGTCAGATGCAAGATGCACTTGTTAGGAAAACGAAACTCAGACCAAGGCAGCCATTAAAACCTACAGAACACTTCTCCATCTAGACCCAAACGTCCTCAAGTGAAAGCAATAGAGCACTGTATTAAATTCACAAACTGGTCTATTCTACAAGTTATATGTAATTTTTATTATAACCAATTTGCGTAAATTAACCTTACAGTGAAATCTGAATTAACTGCCTTGGGGTTTTCGACTTGGCTGCTTTCTCTGTGCTGACTCTCAAGTGAGGTAAACAAATAAAAACTAATCATTAAATGTAATCTGGTAATCTGGTAATCCTAGTTTCAGCATCATAGCAAACGGGTCACCCCATTGTTGCTCCGCTCCTGTGCCAACGAAAAACACTCGTAGCTCACAGTGTCACACCATGCACTCAACTCAGAAGCTGGGTGACGAAACTATATCCTTCCAGTCTACAAATAGAGCAAAAATGCAACGGCCACCGCCTGGCAGAACTGCCACGGCTAAAAAAAAAAAAAAGTGGCTGTGCCTAGCGTCCACTGTGACACATTAAATGTGTATACTTTTTTCTTGACAGTATTTGTGCAAAGATGTAATTTTGGAGTTTAACACGAGAACATGAACTATAAAATATTTCAGGTCTACTGATAATACATGAACGTATGTAAATGTAGTTATTACTATTATCAATTATCATATGCTACTTGTCAACAGGCCCTGTGTGTTACTGTTGTTACTTAGCAGCAGATTGTTTATAAACAATAAAAAAGTTGTTGCTGACTTATGGGATAAAGAATAAAACAAAATATTAAATGAAGAGGCAGGAATATAACAGAATATAAGAGGAAAAATGCTACATCACGAAAGATAACGTGCATATATTTTTATTATAATAAAAGACAAGAAAAACATTTAGTTTGAGCGATGTGTATATTATTTTCTTTAAAAAAAAAATAGATTTAAAGCAAGACAATGAAAATGATTTAATAGAGCATCTTGTTAGTTACTGTTAGCAGCCAATCCAGCATGTGCACCATCATTTGAACCATTAAAGTTTAAGCTTTTCGAGGCTTTCTCTTAGCAAATTAGTTCATTTATATAGTTAATTAAATGCGGCCTGTAAATATAGCCCTTTCAAGTAGTCATTTCCCGAAAACATTGACCCGTTAACACATCCATGTAATTTTGTTTTCCTTACACACTTCCGTTTTCGGCCTTGTACTTCCCTGCGTTAAAATGGCGTCCTCGCTATTGAAGGTCAATGGTGGGGTTTCGGGACTTGTCAAACTGTCACAGAAAGTAAGTCAAATACGGTTTAATTTTGTTCAGCAGTCTGAAATTTGAATAATTAAAGCAGCCTGCTTTAAAATTATGGGTATGTGCTTCTACAGATAAGCAGTATCGCTCTTAGAACTTCTGCATGTGAATGTGTGAATTAATAGTTAACTTAAGTGTTTTTCTCAGTTGGTCGTCGCCTGTTTGACGCACAAGCCGGAGGTCGAATTGATTATTGATTATCATATTATTGTATCGCCGACCTTTCAATAAAGAATACGATTTAGTAGCATTGAATCTGTCTCATTACACAGAATTCTCAATCTTTCATAATTACAGAAAGGATGTGCAGAAAGAGGAGTATCATCAGTTCAGTATCATTAGACTAGACACACTCACAGCAGACCAGCTGAGCTGATGACTGGCACTATCCAGCCTACTTCTTGAATGACTGGACTGCTCTGCTCATAACAAAATCAGATGTCTTATTGAATCATTCATCTTAGATTCATGTGTGTACATTTTTCAGTTATCTATCAGTAAACAGGGAATCGCTAATGACTGTGAATGTATGTTTTGGCACCAGATTTTAAAAAAAACAAGTAAAAAAAGCTGATACCTGGAGTTTTTATTTATGTCTGCAGATATCTGTCTAGACGAGCTGGCGCACTTGTAAAGTTGCATAGAACTGACACTGTCTTGAACAAGTATCATACAAACTCTAGTACATTATGACCTTGGAACTAGGCTGACATATATAATATATATATTGATTATGTTCCGCCAGCCTCTTCAATTGTAATATTTGTTATGTTATTTCTGCCTATACCATAGATTACTTTACTTTTATATTTATTCATTCATTTCTTAAAGTTAAGTTTAATTGCGGAGTACACCTTAGCAATATGCGCTAAGTATAAGAACATAGTCCATACTTGAAAAAAAAAAATTCTTTTTAAAAATTACTAGTACATCATGTGATTCCCAGTTAAGTTCATAAACTGACAAAACAGTTCATTTTCATAAGGGCTTTGTTGCCATATCCAGCAACCAGTGACAGTTCCAATAACAATTATGGTGCCAGTAGCAGTAATGACTGTTGTCCATCATGACTTTCCTGCATGACGGCCAGCTTATTTCTTGCGGCATCCTTCTCCCCAGACCTGCAGCTCAGTATCTGATTGTGGTGTTGCAGTGTTATACTATTCTCTACAGTTGGCTTTAACTATTTATATTATACCTCATAATCAAATACCCTTTCCACATAGCTTGGGTATATCTTCTCCAACACCTTTATTTTGTCTTCGTGACATGGTGCATTTAATTTGGCTTATTCCAGTCAGTCTCTTGATGTTGTCCACCCATGTCTAAGGTTGTTTTTTTTCTTGCATGTTTCCTTTCCACTTTTCTCTCCATCACATCTTTTAATTAGGAACTCTAAATAAAAAAATTATGTAAATTGTTTCTCATTAGTCTCATACTTTCTTAGTAATACTTCTTTTTTTTTTCTCTAGCCATCGCATTTTTTCCTGTTCATCTGAAAAACCTTACATTCTGTCCATGTTCCTTGAGGATTAATTTACTTGTATATAATAACATGAAAGAAGTGGCAGCATATGAAGGGGAAAAACAACCGAGTCAATCAGTGATGACGTTTCTTCTTCTTCAGCATTTGAGGTTCATTACTGCAGATATCACCCGCCTCCATTCATCTCTCTGGTTGGCCTTCTCTTTCCAGTTGGTGACACAGAGTGTTTACAGGTCTGTCTGGACCTTATCTCTCCATTGTCTTCTTTGTCTGCCTCGGGGTCTACGAAAGTGATAACATTTGCTTCTTAATTATATCGCAAAAGGAGGGAATGGATAATGAACAAGACTATAAAATGACATGAATAACACCTAAATTCTGCTCTCACGTTGTGTATTCTTTGTCCATATTATTAATTATTTAGAGAACATTTGATGACTCTTAGTTAATAACTCAGCGCTTTAGATGTTAAATGATGTTTCATATTCTTGCATGTTGCCTTCACCATTCCAATTCTCTTTCTTATTTCTACTTTACACCTACCATAATTTTCTTAGTTGCCATGAGTAATCAAAATTATTCAAATATTTTAGTTCTTTTTCATTCACTTTTTTCAATTTAAAAAAAAATTATTTTGTAAAATTTAATCTTAGTTTACGTTTATCCTAATTTTTTTTAATTGTAATTTTTTTTAATCCACTCATTTCATTTTCATTGCTTATGTTGTATACTCTTTATTTCTAATATTAATATTTATAAACTTTAATCTTCCTGCAGGATGTTGTGTCATGGTATTCTCTTATTAGCTTTCTCTAACATATCTCAATTTTTTTTTCTTTCTCTCTCTCTCTCTCTCTCTCTCTCTCTCTCTCTCTCTCTCTCTCTCTCTCTCTCTCTCTCTCTCTCTCTCTCTCTCTCTCTCTCTCTCTCTCTTACTGTCTGTACTCTCCACACTCTTACACAATATCCGGATAGACATCCATATTAACAATTATGTTATTACTCTGCAGGTACCATGTGCGGTAGCTCTCAATAATCGCAGATGGAGGTCTGCGAAGGCTCTCACTTATGAACAGGCTGTACTGAATATTCCAGAAACAAAAGTGACAACTTTGAACAATGGAATCAGAGTGGCTACTGAAAATACAGGAATAATTACAAGCACAGTACGTCATCTCTAATATACTTAACTACTGCAGCACATAAAACATCAATGATGAATCAGATATATTATCTAAGCAGATCAAATAAACTCTCGTCACTTAGATGTGCTTTGGCGCCATAAGCTTTTTTTTTAAATCCATACTATCCCTCTGTATGTTCACAGATACTAGGGCACAGTATTCTCCATTATTTACTTGCACTCAGTATTTTCAAGTAGATGCTAGCATTCAGTATTTTCCAGCTGATGCTAACCATCAGTATTTTCCACCAGATGCTAGCACTAAGTATTTTCAAATAGATGTTAACAGAAATGACAAATGTTTAAGATTTGCGAGTTTGTAATTAACTAACCTACTTTTTTTTTCTAAAATATCCAAAAACAATAAGTAACCCTTTGGCGCTGTACTATGAATATCGCAACCCTTCGGCCTTGATTCCATGATAGATACTATAAATATGGAATAAATGACGCTTCTCTGCCTACACCTGGGTAGGAACCCGGACCACTAGGAGTTCGTCACCCGGTCGCAGCGAAGTCAGGTTTAACCAACTAAGCTAGTGAGAGGGGCAACTAACCTACTTAATTTTTTCGATCCTCTTCAACCTTGGGGTATAAAGGTTTGCTGGAGAGATCACCAGACTTCTCTATCTGCAGTTTTCTTTTTGGCTTTGTTCCATTCCAATCCTCTGTCAGTTAGGGACTGTCGGATGTTGTCTTCAGATCGAACCCTGGGTTGCCCCGGTAGTCTAGTTCTTGGTCTCCCCTGCCTTCCATGGTGGCCAATCTACTCGAGTTTTTAAGGCCTGGGTTTCAGGATCCTGACGTATTATCTGAACTTTGTCTTTTGTCACTTGGACCACCTTTTTCAGGTATCTAATTGTGAGGGTAATTAATTGTTTCATTAACTTTTGGCCCCCGTGTGGGTTCCGGGGCCCTATTGTGGGAAAAACAAGAATAGACCCACCGCCTCCCCAAAAGCATGTTGTAAGAGTCGACTAATTGGGGAGCTTCCTTTGAAGTCGGAGTGCATCTGCCGGAGAGGCAATGAACCAACAGTCTGTATTCAAGAGAATGAGATCTGTAAAACTGATGCACATGCAACACTCAGGTTCTGGAGCAGGAGTGCAGTTCAGTAGTGGACGGGCAACCAGAACTTTACGCCAGAGTGTACAGCTGGTGAACGCGAAGAAGAAGAAGATTAACTTTTGGCAGTATGGAAGCAAACTGATTTTTTATGTAGCTTTGAATTTCTGTTTGCTTTGAAAGCATATCACTATAATATAGATTGTTTTACTGTCTCTCCCCCCCCCCCCCCCCCTTTTTTTTTCAACCCATTATCTACAAATACAAAAAAAGCTGACACAATACATGTCTCTCATTTCAGTATCAGAGAACTCACCGTTTTTTTCTAGGTCTTTACAGGGTTAATATATTTGCTGTTCTTTATGACAGACAGATGTTTTATTAACCCTTTGAATTTTTATTACTTAACCTATTTCTGACCCAGTGTGTGTCTCTTGAGCTCTTTCACCTGTAAATATTAGTTGCTCTTAAGCTCAGCTTCTTGGGGTGAGGGGGTTAAGTTACAATTGCTTGGGACTGAAAGAGTTAACAATATGCATGCTTTTTTGTTTTCTAAACTGTTCATGCCATCTTTGTTATTTCTTGTTAACCCATGTTTTTCTCCCCACATATATTTATACAGGTTGGTCTGTGGATTGATGCTGGTAGCAGGTATGAGAATGCTCGCAACAATGGTGTGGCTCACTTTGCAGAACACTTGCTCTACAAGGTAATTTTGTTGTTCTCAAAATTCTTTGATTGATCTTAGTAGCACAAGAAGTGTGCACTGCCTGTTTATTTGTGTGTATTTTCACCAGTCAATCATAGGAGCTAAGAGATGGCAATACATTGTGCATATCTTGAAGAGAAACAGAAACACTAAACAGGCACTGAAATGCAAAACAAATGAATTGAGGAAACGAGGACTTCCAAGTGAAATCTAAGATGAAACATTGAGAGATGCCCAAAGATGCTGGACTGGATTCTGTCCATGACAGAACACAAATGTGCACACTTGGCAACTCAGAAAACAGACAGAGCACAAGTGGGAATGTTCGGAGGGCATCGATGTCAGTTCTTAAGTAATAATACATTTTGTTCCATTTGTTTGGTCATAATCTCTTCTGCTATACTGCTCTCACAAGAGTGTTCTAAAGCCATGAGAACTACTTTTTCTTTTGTCGTCTCACTGATACCGGGTTGTAACGCAGTGTCGTGGTTTTCTATATTTGTCTTACGCTCCTTAATTGGCTTGGGTTATGGATTTATTTATCTTTTCCAGGTTTCTAACATGCTATTTTTCCATTACTTTTTTGGTCTTCCTCTTGCCTTCCTCCAAGATGTCCTGCTGTAAAAAGTCATGCAGTTTTGTCTGGGTGCATTTTCACTAGATTGCTGAACCATTTAATTCTTTGTCTGTCAATATAATCCAGATTTGGTCTTATCTCGACACTCTTTGATGCTGGTATTCATAATCCTGTCTCTTCTTGTGTTAGTGGCCTTGCAGAGACAGCACATTTCACATGTAGTTTTTTCCCTATTCTAGTGCTCTATTCATTGTTTCATGTTGACATGAGAAGTCTTTCTAAACTGCCTACGCCAGAAATCCAACCCTTGTCTATCGAAGATTGTGAAACATGCTCACTAACCTCTAAGACACGGAGCCTATTATTCAGAATTGTTGAATTAATGTGGGTTATTCTTGTCCTAGGGTACCAAGAAGAGGAGCCAGACTGACTTAGAACTAGAGATTGAAAATTTGGGAGCCCATCTCAGTTCCTATACAACCAGAGAACAGACAGCCTTCTATGCTAAGTGTTTCCAGAAGGATCTTCCAAAAGGTACTGCGCTTATGCTTTTTAATATACAATAAAAATGTCTGCTTATTATTTAAAATGTTTCTACAGCCTCACAGGGTATATTTTTCTTTCTGATGTCATTACCTAGTAGGTTATGTTATGGTATCACAACCAACATCACTGCACATTGGGCATTTCCATTACCTAATATATTTGTGAAACATGACATTTTACACCTAAACAGCACTGCCATAAACTTTCTTTGCCTTTATCGCTGTAACTGGAAGTCCTGACGGCAGACTTAATATTGTGTCATCAGTAATCCAGTTAGTTGTTGGTCTTCAGATTAAATTACAAACAGTGTTATCAGATACAGCTTGGTATCACATACATCAAGTTCCCAGCCAGTTCCAGAACCCCATTTTGGGAGAAAAGAGTAGACCCACTGCCCTGCATGTCATAAAAGGCAACGGATTCAGGGTTGGCTGAAATAGGGCGTGTTGGGTTGTAAGGTACAGATATTGCAGCCCAACTAAACCTTAATTAGTGATCTTTCTACGTTCGGTCCTCTGGCCCGTGATGATCCCCATTTTCTAAATTTAGAACCTCTGTGGCAAAATGTGGATGAAAAAGGGGTCTATACTAGATCAACTTCCCTACCCATGACAGCGTCCGTAGTCTCAAGATAAAATTTTGGCTCGTAAATTGATTATAAAACTGGGAGAGGGCCCCGTGTATTTGAGACTGGGACATGGTCATGTGACAGGAGTTAGAAAGGTAAGACTATCTCTGGATATGGATAGCACAAGATAGTCTAGTTATTCTGAAGATAGTCTAGTTATTCTGTCGCCCACCCTCCTGCCAATAGAATCAGAAGCCCCTAGAAAGATAACAAATGTAAGGATGAGAAAGGTATCTTTCAAACTCTTTCACTTAAAGCCCACACTCTCCATAGTAAAAGAGAATGACGAGGTGGGTACAATTTCTATAACACAGAATGTAATGGGATACTATAACAAAACTGATTGGCAATAAAACAATAATTTTCTTCCTCGGGAAGAAGTTACACTTTTGGCGCAGGCAAATTCAGGCTCATGGGACAACACAGTCACCTGATGAAACTTGTGGACAGTAGGCTTCAGTGATCCGGTCTGTCGTCTGAGTGCTCCTCACAAGACGGAATACAATCCAAGGCAATAGTGTTTGAGTCAGAGTCTTTTAGGCACATGCCCTTATAAATCCACAATGCAAGTTTAATACTAACACAATGTTCTGGATCGTCACTGCTAGACTGTAATACTGACAACTTTATAGTGTAGATAAGTTGAAATCCTCAATTGTAAATACGTTGAAATTCAGTTTTAGATATGATGTGGCACATCTCAGTTGTAAATACAATAACGCAGTCTGGCCCCTTTTGTGAATAAGAAAATACTTCAAAATTCTCGAGATTATGCTGGTTGGTACTGGCTTAAAAAATCTCAGAATCACTACAAGTCCGTCTCCCGCAGATGGTGAAGTTGAAGAGGCTGGATGTAGACGGGGTTCCGGTAATGATACCTTGAGAGTTTTATTCTGGTGTGTATGGCGTCATTTCTAAATATAGTCTAGGCACGGACATCATCTCCTGTGGTTTTTACCATATTTAGTGACTATAGCTGCACTGGTATCGCTAATGTGTTCACTCTAGTATGCTGAAACCGGGAATCCCCCATCGGTATTGGCATTGATACCAAGGTTAGATCGTCTGTCCCGTGATTATGACGTTCATCATACGTCATATCATAGATGCTAGTCTGATTTGTAATGCGTCCGGCAATTGCGTATATACAACTATGATGTCAGTGGCTTTGTTGCAGTGAGGTTAATTTTGTACACTTGAGTAGGACCAGGCTGTGTTCTAAGTGAGAGAGTGGCAGTCCATGGTGCACCACTGCCATTTCATGACACACTTCCTGAGTAAACTGAGATAAATAGCCCTGACCTAGTATATGTGAAACATGGCACTTCGCACCTCAGCTGCACCACCAAAAAGTTTTCTTTGTCATTATAACTGTAACTAGGAGTCATGAATGGCATACTTGATATTGTTCTATCTGTAGTCCATATTTGGTCTCCAGACCAAGTAAGAAACAATGACAGTATTATCAGGTATATGTGGAAACACCTTGTATCAGATACATCAAAAAGCTGTTCAAATGGTTTGAACATCTTGTTAGACTGCAGAACCAGTTATACCATTACTGATGCTTCATCCAAGCAGCGTGCACGGCTTAGGCGTTGCAAGTCCGACTTGTAATTCCAACGTACCGCGATCGAAACCCACTGCTGCTGCATGGATTTTTATCATGGTATAGGGCGTCACAGGTCGACCCAGTCTAAAATGGGTATCAGGATGGCTGTCCTGTGTAAATAAAGACAGCCGATGTAATGCTGAACACATTACACACCTAGTGCCGAAGGCCTGTAAAATATTGGCGTTTTCCCCATATACCAGATATGCCTAAAGGCGTGAAAAGGGATCTTAACTTTATGCTTCATCCAAAAAGAGCTGATACAAGAGCAAATGGGCGAGAGCTGGTAAGAGGGCGCCAGCGAAATATATAGATTGACGAAATTAAATTAAAAGATATTATACATTCATGCTGAATACTTTTAGTCAGTGCCAGCCATTGAGCTGATGGACAGCTTTTCCTTCCCACTTCCCTGGACAGTGTAGGTTGAATGTGATAATGATGACTTATTTCACATTTGGCTTAGTTTTGCTTTCACAGCATTTAAAATGTACTCTGTCATTTTGCTAACTCTCTTGTTTGATTTAGCTTTGGAAATATTGGCTGATATTACACAGAACAGCCGGTTTGCGGAAGAAGATGTAGAAAAAGAGAGAGGTGTGATTCTTCGAGAGCTGCAGGTGAGTTTAAAAAAAAGTCTTTTATATTATGAACAGTTTTAAAATTAGATTTCATTGAGGTTAATTTATATTTCTATACAATATTTGGTGGAGTTTAATATTTAAGTGATTATTTTGTTTTTATTATTAAATCTCCCCGTGTAAGTTTTAGGACCCCAATTTTGGGCAAAACAAGAATAGACCCACTGCCTCCCCAAGCATATCATAGGAGTCGACTAATTAGGAGTTTCCTTCGAAGTCGGAGTGCAAATGCCCGAGAGGCAAGGAACCAAGAATGTGCATACAAATTAGTCAGATCTGTAAAATTGATGTCCACACAACATTCAGGTTCTAAACATGACTAAACTCCAGAAATGGATGAACAACCAGAATTTTCCATCGGAGTTTACTGCTGGAGAACACAAAGAAGAAAAAGATTACTAAATCAACATTAATTGGTGAAATAATTACCCTTATTGAGAAAAATTAAAACGAATAGCCAGTTGCATTGCTGCAAGAGACAAAATTAATCTGCTTTTAATAATTATCCTCCCCTTTTGTAACGTGCTAGTATTTATTTGTATTTTGTTTTGTGTTATTTGTAACTAAGATTTTGCTGACATTACTTAAAACAAAAATTGTTTATTGCCTAGGAGGCAGAGACCAATCTGCAAGAAGTTGTTTTTGATCATCTCCATGCCATAGCATATCAAGGAACTCCCCTTGGGCAGACCACCTTTGGTCCATCTGAAAACATAAAGTGAGTTTTCTTCTCATATTAGTGTGGCTGAGTAGATTTAAATATTTTATTTCAAAGCCCCACCCTAGCTGTAGTTGGGGCCCCTGGAATAACCTAACGATTGAACAGGGTTTGTGGGACTTGTGTCACGGGGCTTATCGCACATTGTGAGGTCCTAGTGGAGCTGAACGTCAGTCCTACATGGGAGCTGTAGTAGCTTTGCAGCTAGCTGCTCACCTTCCAGCCCGTGTCTTGAGTTCAAATCCGCACCAATGCAGATTTGGTCAAAATCCATCTCGGCTCCCAGGTCGACCTGAACCTAAAATAGTATCAGGTAATGTCCCGAGAAGTAAAGGTAGCTGGCGTGATGTTGACCTGAAAACCCACCACAATGTGCTATTGGTGAACCAATAGTGCTATACTTTTGTATATAATACATATACATGTTGCAAAAAGATAATTTTTCATGCATATAATGAGGTGTATTCAAACCGCTCCCAGTGGTATTATTGCAAATTAGGTGTGTGTAGATCCAGGGGAGAGAGGTCAAGTTTCACCTTCTGATGCTTTCTACCCATTCAGAGAGGAGGCCACCTGTTGCAGTTTTCTTCGACATGTTCATATACTCTTTTATGTCTGCAAGTTTATATTAGGGTTAGCAGAGGAGAAGGAGGCCATATCAGGCCTTCAGTCATACATCCTACTGCTCAGGGAGGGGTAGAGTAGGGGATACTTAATTTATTTTCCTAGGTTTTCATTTTCATTGGTGCTTTGATCCAGATTGTGTATAAGAAGATGATATAATTGTTGAGAAAGATTACAAAAAGATGTGGGGGGGGGGGGGGGGGTTGAGCCACAAATGATGGAATCTCTTCTTGTGTATATCCACAACTGTTGGGCCTCAGTGTGACCTCTAATTGCTTGTTCATTTTCTAATTTGTTTATACCATATATTAGTGTTGAGAAGTATAGAAAATATTTAATTTGTGTGTGTGGTTGTGTTATGAGAAAAGGAAAACTGGAACACATTGTGTCCACTGGATTTGTAGAAAGGCATACAATACAGGAAGACAGTATGAGATTCTTGGCAGCTTTGATCCTGATATGTAGGGGTGTCAGTACATGAGCTGATGGAGAGCTCTGGTTGTGGATCAACCATGCCAAGCAGCAGAGCACATGATGATGATATAAAATATAGGACAGATGGGTTTTTTTCTTTGTGTTCTTAATCTCTAGGTGATAATAATTTTTTTTTTTTATTATTATCGAAAATATTTGAGCATTTTCAACTGTGTTATTTTAGTTTTATTTCTGACCTTTTTGTTCAGATCCCTGCAACGAAATGACCTAATAGAATATGTTGGCAACAACTTCAAGCCTCCGCGTATTGTTATAGCTGCCGCTGGAGGTAAGGGTTTTGTCTATGAAGTAGCAGATCATCATCTATCAGTAGGTCCTTTACAGAACCTCACATTTGTCATGCACACCTGAAAATGTCTCTCTCTTTAGCCAGTTCTCCAGCCCTGTGTGCTTTCAAGGCCGATGCATCTTGTGCCTTATAGCCATCTCTGTGGAGATGGGCCTCTGCAGTGTTTTCCAGAAAATACCCCCATCACTTTTTTTTAAGCATAATTGTTTCCAGACAGTTCTGTTGGTATTGACGATCGAGTCCAGATGTCTGATGGTAGGCAAGCACTCATCAGACTGGGTTTTACGCTTACCCAAAAACCTTCTTTTGTTAGCACCTTATGTCTTTCCGAACAATAGTGTTATGCTATAATGGTGCGTGGAAATCATGGCGAGTAACCAGTTATGGCCAGGTGAAGTTCCTCAAATTCATAGCACAAATCTAGGCTGTATTGTAGAGACCATGTGTTGTACATGGAGTATGATCCCTCCCTCAACCTGCCTTGTTTACTCCAAAAGTAAGGTAACACCAGTGCGTTTAGAACCAAGCACGTTGCAGAAGTGTTTAGGTTATAAGAGGTGTGCTTTGTCATAAACTAAGTAGGCATTTCGCGTGAAAGTAACAAGTAGAAGAAATGTTTAGTCCTCTGCCACCAGCTATTCAATTAGTACTTTATCATAACTCATGGTCACCTAAGAGTAACTGAGAATCTCCAAAGAGGACAAGAAGTAAACAATGATGTCTTCTTATTGTAATATAGAATCTGTGTTTGTTTCTTTGTAATCTAAAATATTTTGAAAAATGTTCTAATGCATAACAGCTTATCAAAAACATTAGAAAGAGCCAATCATTTTTGGCCATATTACCAAAAGACAAAAACTAGAATATTTAACAGATGGAGAGAATTAGTGGAAAGGGGCATGGAAAAAAAAAGAGGTTTGTTGAAAACATTTTATCATGGCATTGAAAGGTCATCACACAAATTGATACATGCTATTGGACTTCAAAAGTTGTAGAGAAGTCAGCTGGCAAATAATTTGATGATGATGATGATGACAGTGTGTTCATTGTTTGATATCTTGCTGGGGCATTCTCACACAAGCCCTGCTTGTTTCTCTGTGTTGCCTAACAGGAATATAAATAAATATGATTAACTGAAAAATCTCTGCTCCACTCTCTATAATTTAATGTTTATATCATATCTACACTGTTTTATGCAGGAGTCAATCATGATGAGTTGGTCAGGTTAGCAGAGCAGCACTTTGGAAGAATCGGTGCTGGCTACGAAGGAGAGGTTCCTATCTTGCAACAGGCTCGGTTTACTGGCAGTGAGGTAACAGGATGCTGGCAATTCTAGCCTGGTGTTTTCAGTTTTCTATTCTTATTTGGACATGTTTAATTCACCAGTGCAGTTTCTGTTGGATGCCTGAGGATCATAGCTGAACCTACAGAATTCATGTTTTGTGTGACACTCTTGGAACACAGCTAGCATTTCTGCAGAGAGAGACTGGGTCATGAAGGATAACCTGTTGCAGTCTTCTTCTTCTTAGCTTTAAACTACAGGGGAATATTCTGGTTGTTCCTCCACTTCTGGACCCTGGGTCTGTTCCAGAACTTGAGTTTTACTTGCATATCTATTTCACAGATCTGACCTACTTGTATGCAGTCTGTTGGTTCCTTGCACCAAGGCAAAAGCACTCCATTTTCAAAGGAAACATCCCTAGTTGCCTTGAATGACATGCTTGCTAGAGGTGTCTGTTGGTGTTTTATTCCCACCTCACACCACAAATGGGGATCTGAAACCCACATAGGAAACCTGATGCAGTGAAGTCATTCCTCTTGGCTGTTCTTTGTTCAATTGGTAAAAATCAGTAATTTCAATAGATCTTTAGTTTAAAAAAAAAATATTGTAGAGATTATGCCTTGTCCTTGGAGCATGATCCCTCTCTCAACCTGCCTTGTCCAACTCCAAAGGCAAGGTAACACAAGTACCTTTAGAACCAAGCACGTTGCAGAAGTGGTTGGATCAGAAGAGGGGTGCTCATGTCTGCCATATCTCTTGGAGATTCCATAACGTTCTTATGTACAGTCATAAACCAAGCAGCCATTTCATGTGAGACTAGTGCCTAGAAGAAATGTTAAGTCAGTTGCCACCAACAACTCAATTAGTGCTTTATCATAACTGTTGGTCCAATTCCATTCATCATTTGTTTTAGTGAGAAAACAATTAATCTCGACACAGAATGACAGAAGCCATTGCTACCCATCAGGCAATGGAATGCCAACTGTTAGTCCCCACAATGCTTAACGGCAAAGTGGAAAATGATGATGACGAGTCCGTCAGTGTGAGGTTGGGGATCATGTCTGTTCAAAGCCCTCTGTATCATGTGCTGCCAATATTTGCTGACACATTTGTTCTTCCTTGCCATGATGCCACATTGACCAACATCATTTCTCTTGTTTTCCCTTTGCTTCTCTTTCCTTTGAGTTTCTCCACTGTTACTTCAGTTTCCTTTTCTGATGGCCTTCCCAGAGAATGTGGAGTGACCACTTCTGATGCAGGTAACCAGTTCTCATTTTGAATTAATTCCAGAAATCTTTGTTGTGTTTTTATTTCTCCAGCGAAATGTTTCTACAATCTTCTGTACGTCAAACATTGGCTGTATATAGTTTTTATAGGTTTTTCACGCTTCATTTAACAAAAGATATATTGGATAGAAGTAGAATTGCTTTTCCTCAGATGTCGGCTACATCCTTTCTTCTTTCGAGTCAGCCAACTATTAAAATAATCTTTCTATTTATATAAAAAATATTCCCAGTTTGCCTGTTTATTTTTATTCATTTGATATGTTAAAACCGTAACCAATGCTAAATTATTGTCTTTCCGCAGCTGAGGGTAAGAGATGACTTCATGCCCCTGGCTCATGTGGCAGTTGCTGTAGAGGGTTGCGGTTGGCAAGACCCTGATAGCCTGGCACTGCTGTTAGCCAGCACGCTGGTTGGAAGCTGGGACAGAAGTCATGGAGGAGGTGCCAACCTGTCCAACCAGCTGGCCCAGCACACCGTCAAGTTAAACTTGGCTCATAGCTATCAGTCCTTCAACACAAGCTACACCGACACTGGTCTTTGGTGAGTCTCTCAGATTGTGATTTAGATAGAAAGGTTGACACAAGGAAATTATTTCTGCTAGTGTTAAAGGTAGAGGAGGGCTGATAGCCCCTTAGTAAAAGAGGGCTAATCAGCCTGGCCCAGCACGTAAACATATTAAACTTGGTTCACAGCTACTAGTCCTTCGACACATGTTGACCACTGACACTGGTTTTTGGTGAGTCTTCCTTAAATTTGTGTGTGATAAATGGCTGGGGAAGTTAGTGAGGAAATGGTGGAAGAGGACTGGGTGATGAAGTCTTCAAACTTCACGTAATCTCGGCCACAATTTATGAGGTGTGGTGGCCATTTTCCATTCCAATGCCCTTCCCTGTCCACAAAATTGTCAAATACTAATTTTCATAGGGCGCGTCATCCCCCAACTGTGAACTGCTCAGGAAAATATCTTGCCTATGCGGCGGGTTAAAACTGGACCCAGAGGCGTAACAAGGGGCATGCAGGCTGCACAGGATGTCATCATTGAGGAATGTGACAAAATGACAAAAATATGCTTTTAACATTAAAAATGTGTGTGTGTGTATCGTGGAAGTGACAGGAAATGTTTGCACTGGATACCACCTGACCTTGCTACACCTTGCCTGGGCCATTGTCTTGGCAAACAAGTGTACTAACCACTAAACTACTGCAGCTGAAATTAAGTAGAAAGATGGGAATTGGAATTTTGGTATATCATCAAAGAAATTATCATTTTTTCTGAGATATGTTTACATAAAAACATTTTTGTCACGTTATGTTAAGTATTATTCCTTGTTTTTATATTATTCCTCATTTTGAACACACAGGGGCGTCTACTTTGTGACTGACAGACTGCATATTGATGACTTCATTTACAATGTACAGCATGAATGGTGAGCATTCTTGTTTTTATTCTTCTTAACTCTCGAGCTATGTTAGCATGGACTATGTTATCATATTAGAGTTGCCTAGCTGTTGCTGTTACCTGAATGTAATTTGCTTTTTCTTTGATCTAGTAGCCTTAAGCTTATTGATAATTTATCGTCAAATAAAACTCCCTGTGTGGGTTCTCTGGTCCCATTGAGGGTGTGGTGGTAATAACAAGCATGCTATAAAAGCCCTTGTATTAGCTGTGTTTCCTTCAAAGTCGGACTTGAGAGGCGAGGAACCAACAATTTGCATACCACTAAGCCAGGGCTATTCAACTGTGTTTACTCAGGGGTCAAACTGTTTGAGATTTGGAACTTCACGGACCAGAGGCCTCAGCCCCAGCATAGAAAGATAATTAATACAATACAAATGGCAGGTATTCCACGGGCCACTTGCTAGGCCTTCACGTGTCAGATTTGGCCCGCTGGCCGCCTGCAATAAGCCATATGTGCATGTAAAACTCAAGGTCTGGAACAAAACCAAAGTCCAGAATTGGATGAACAAGCAGAAATTTTTGCTGAAGTTTACATTTATAAGAATGCGAAGAAGGCATTGAGAAAGTCTGGGCGCGGGAAAAGACATCACTTAGATTTTCCTGGCCCACAGAGGCTTAACAAGTAGCTCATGGATCACTGCAAGTTATATAATATTAGTGACCTTTCTACACTGGAGCTCAGACATCCAGCCTGCGACAGTCCCCGTTTTCAAAATATATTCCCTTGAGTAAACTTATTTGAATAGCTTTGCTCTAAAGTTTTGCTCTGTTATTTTAGGATGAGACTGTGTGGTGGAGTCAAGGAGTCCGAGGTTGAAAGAGCCAGGAACCAGCTGATAACAAGTTTACTCCAGCACCTTGAAGGAACCACCCCTGTCTGTGATGATATTGGCAGGTCAGAATTGTTGTCAGCAGATCTTATAGTTGCTTTAATTTAGTCAGAATGATTGACAGCAGATCTTATAGTTGCTTTATTTTAGTCAGAATGATTGTCAGCAGATCTTATAGTTGCTTTAATTTAGTCAGAATGATTGTCAGCAGATCTTATAGTTGCTTTATTTTAGTCCGAATGAATGTCTGCAGATCTTATAGTTGCTTTTTAATTTAGTCAGAATTGTTGTCAGCAGATCTTATAGTTGCTATTTTAGTCAGAATGATTGTCAGCCGATCTTATAGTTGCTTTAGTTTAGTCAGAAGGATTGTCAGCAGATCTTATAGTTGCTTTATTTAAGTCAGAATGTTTGTCAGAGAATGTTTTAATTTCTTTATTTTTACTCTGTAATTTTTGCTGTATGCATTGTCGGTATTGGTTTCTTTATCCAGTTGTCTCTGACTGCCTGTATATCTTTCTCTGCCTGTCTTGCTCCTCCCCTCTCTGACTTTTTCCTTTATTTTCTTTTTTCCTTCTCTGTTTCTTGTCCAAAGTCTGCTGTTTCTTTCTTTTTGTCCCCCCCCCCCCCCCTCCCACCCTCTTCCCCACTCTCACTCTCTCTCTCTCTCTCTCTCTCTCTCTCTCTCTCTCTCTCTCTCTCTCTCTCTCTCTCTCATTTTCTTTGTTTTAGACTATGTTTTTATAAAAACTTTTGCACACCTTGAGGTTGCAGCTATCTTTTGCTAGTCCTTAAAACATCAGTCAGCAGTTGGTTTGTGATTTAATTAGTGTTGTGTCAGCAACCTTAACTTCTCTATAAATTTCCTGATACCGATTATTCCTGGCGCAGCCTGTGAGTCAGTTTACTCCAGATGCAATCTTCTGTTAGTTTGCGCTGGTGTTTCCCAAACTTGTCTGGCCCAGCATCCCCTTTTCAATGACAAAAATCACCCAGCGCCCATCTCTCACTGGAAATATCATCGGGGGCAGGGGGAGGGGGGGGGTTGTTGTAAGCACCCACTTTGGGATACACTGGTTTACACAATGTTGATTGGGAACTTTTTTTGTTTTTTCTGTCCTCAGACAAATATTGAACTACGGTCGAAGGATCCCACTGGATGAGTTGGAACTTAGATTAAATGTAAGTTACATTTCATGTACATTTTCCTAGACGAAGTAGTTTAATATGGTTATTAATGTCACCCTGTGGACAGGAGACTAGTCATCTGAGCTGAAAAAATCTTTGTCAGAACTGAGCCAACTGCTTGGCAAAACAGTACATCTTAACAATTTCTCTCTTTTAGTCAGGACACATGGAACAGCTTTCTTTCATACAAGTCCTGGTAATCTAAAATAAAGCATAACAGGTGCATATGATTATACCTCTAGGGTATATGTCTTGTACATCTAAGGCAGAGCTTTTTAGACTTTTTGTGATGACACTTTTTAAGACAAACGTGATTTTGTGACACAATAAATCAGTCTGCTAGGAAATCAGAGGGTAGTGGATGAATGAATCAAGAATTGACATCACCGCACTCGGGACATTCCCACACGTGCTCCATCTTCTTCTTCAGTAACCCATGAAGAGTTGAAATGCTAATGGTTCCCACTACAACCTGAATAAAAGTCCGCCTCTGTTTCCCTTACAGTGTTGAATGTCTCCCAGAACCTCTACTCACCTTCTCCTTCTCTCTTCCCCCCCCCCCCCCCCCCCCCCCCCCCCCAGTTAAATTTGTCTTTCAATCTATGGATTCCCTATCTGTTCTTTTGCACTGTCCATTTCATCCCGCAGAACCTTCACCACATCCGCTTTATCATGTAGTAGCTCACAGCTCAGATGATGAGAGACAGCAGCTAATCTTCAGCTTGCTAGTTACCTCGCTCACCTCAATATCCTGGACAGAAAATCCATGATATGCATTTGATCTGGGTCTTATCAAGTGATGTAGGACACCAGTTTAAGTTTTCTGAAGCATGTTCTGTGAGTAACCAAAGGGTAAACTGAACCTTGATAAGAGGTATGCACACATATATAGATTGAATTAAATATTTCATGTAATTGCAATAAAACATGTTAGCACTGGGTTGTGTACATTCCATTATTATAGTCATATGTGTTGGTGCTGATGACACCGCATTGTGGGCTGATTATTCTTTGCAACACGTCTTCACACTGCAGCTGATACACTAATGTATCATGGCACACGGTTTGGAAAGCCCTTCTCTAAAGTAAAAGAAATGTTAAGACAGGCCTTCCATATGATAGAGTACAGTCTTGATTCTTTATTATTATTATTTTTTTTTTTTGCAGGCGATCAACTCAACCACTTTGAGAGATGTTTGCATGAAGTACATCTATGACAAGTGCCCAGCCGTTGTTGGAGTTGGTAAGTCGTCTTTTTCTCTCTGCCAGTTAATGGGTCTCATCATCATCATCATCATGCAGGTTGACTGCAGAACATTGCTGTCATCACAGCCTGCCTGAAAGAAACTGGGCCTCTCAGCAAATCTCCCGCCTCATCTACTTTCCTACCCAAGGTGACGCTTTTGTTTGCTCTGCCCATCTTCGTGCTGTTCAGCCTCTGCCCCTCTTTCCTGGCACCTTCTGCTTCTGTTGTTTTCCAAACCAGTGTAGAACTTAAAATGGCTAAAATATTTCTGCTTTCAAGACATGATGCTGTTTACTAACCAATCTTCCTTGATGTTCAGATGTTTTAGGATGTCAGTATTTCTTTTCTTTTATGATCCAACTTCTTCTGGGAATATTTTTATAGCATTTCAGCTCAAAAGTCCTTACATACTTCACGACAGCAACTCACATCCTTATGTTGCTACAGGGAAGATAAAAAAGTAAAGGACCCTTTTCCGCGCCTTTAGGCATATAGGGCTAGACCTATATTTTTATAGACCAATCGGCACAAGATGGGTGATGTGGTCAGCATCACGCCTGCCGCCATTACTTTCCCGGGACTACAGGGAAGATGCATGTCCTAAAAATGTTGAATTTTATTTTCTTGCTGATGTTTAACAAGAATAGACTTTTAATCTTTCCATTACTGTGGCCATCCTACTTTTGACTTCTGTTGAACAGTCTCCATTGAGGTTTATTAATTTTTTTTATTTTTTTTTTTGTATTTAAATTAAAAGTCCCTTTACACACCAGTGGTGCATCTGGCACATGAAGCTGGACATATTTTTAAATGCGCATCAGCCCTCGATAAGGGGTGTGGCAAAATTCATAACAAAATGTTTAAATGAAGCCTAGATATGCAAAGTTTGTCATGTCAGTCATTAATTTTTATTTTTTTGGGGATTGGCAGTTCTGTCTAAATTTTGTTTTTATTAAATTCAGAAATGGGTTTTGATCTTCACTGTGTTTTTGGAAAGACATAATTAAACGTTCTATTCCCTTTACACTGTTCAAAAGGAGGACTGTCATCTGCATAGTGAAGTTCAAGAATAAAGCTACCTTCAGTTATAAACAGTTCATAACTGTCACAAGTCTGATAATTTTTGACATTTCTCATGATGCTTTCTGCATATATGTTGAATAGGTATGGTGAGAGAATCCAACACTGTCTAAGTGCCTTTTGCATCTCAAACCAGTTTGATGTTTTCCCCAACGACTCTGATGGCTGCTTGTTGTTCATGGTTTAAACTTTCAATTAAATACGCATTTGCCAGAAATTCCATACTTCTGAAAACAATACTACTTCTTATAGGGAGCCACTGTGGTGTAGTGGCTAGACGCTTGCCCAGGGATCAGAAGATCATCAGTTCTGGTGCTGATGGAGCTGGATTTTGTTTAAAAATGAATTAAGCTGCCAGGTTGACTCAGCATTGAGTACCAGGTATAGTCCTGGGAAGTAAAGTTGGCTAGTGGGATGCTAACCGCATGAACTACTGAGTGTTGACTGATCTATCAAATATGAGTTCGGATTATAACTAGTGAAAGTTGGCGTGGCGTAGTGGTTAAGACGCTCACGTGCGGATCGGAAGGTCGTGGATTCTCTCCCTGGCGGAGTCAGACTTTTAAAAAAAATGACCTCCCAGGTCGATTAAGCTTTGAGTGGATACCGGGTGCCGTCCCGGGGAGCAAAGGTGACTGGCATGATGCTGACCACATCACAAATCTTGTGCCGATTGGTCTATAAAAATGTAGGTCTAGCTAAAGGTGTGGAAAAGGGACCTTTACTTTATGGCCAATATCTTTAGTTTGTATAGTACCCTACATCTGTTTTATTTTTTAATCAGCGGTTATTTATTCCTTTCCGTTTCAGGCCCTGTGGAAGGTCTTACAGACTACAACAGGCTGCGTGCAGGCATGTACTGGCTGAGGACATAGACACTGGTGTTAGCTGTTTTGAAACTAATTACTGTTTGGAGTACATACTTTCAGCTGTTAGTTCTTTGTGGATGAAATGTAGAAGAAACTTGGTAATCATGCTACAGATCAGTAACTGGTGCTTTATTTTCTAAGAATTGTTTACAGGAATATAGTGGATTGTTGTTGTAGACTGCATTTCTGTTGGTGAATTCTGTAGACCTGGAAATTTATTTTTTTAGGATAACCTTGAGGATAGTTAGATTGACCTATTAATACTGAAAGTAGAGACTTATCACAAATATCAGAGAACAAAACCTGTCAAAAAATTTTGATCAAATTATGAAAAGAATTAAACTGGAACTCGTTGTGACCACTGGAAAGATCTGTGGAAAAAGAGACAAGGGGAACACAGCATGGGAAGATTCTTTACAGCCTTTCGTCAGAAACATGGAGGGTTGTCAGCACACAAACTGATACATGCTGTTGAAGATTTCAGATTGTGGAGAGACATGATTGCCCACGCTAGTCAGCAAGGGACATGATGATGATGATGCTGGAAGTGTGAGATGTGATGTCATATCACATATGTAGGTTTTGCTTGCCTTGTCCACCCCCAGAATAATAGTTTATTTCAGCTAGAATATTTTGAGTTTTGTGAAAGAGTAATTGTCAGAACCACATGAAGTGACATTAAGAAGTATTTATTACATCTGTTGTTTTCTCAAGAGTTGTAGACATTTCTTTTACTTAGTCAGAGTGTTAATGCTTTTGGAGAAACCAAAATGTGGTTGACATTTTTTGTCTCTAGTACATATTTATTCAAATGATAAAACACAGTTTATTTGCTAGACTTGACAAGAACTTGCAGAAAGCATTGTATTGTGTTAAATAATAATACATAGACGTCTTAATATATTTGTGATTCTAGTTGTGTGTATCATTTGAAAGCAAAGTCTGAGGAAATACTAGCCGAAGAGCAAGCGGGTTTCTGGAAAAACAAAAGAGAAAGCTGGCAGGTTTTATGTGCTAGTACACCTTCACGACCCCAATGGGTCAAGGGTTGTTATGTTGTCATTTGTTACATGTTGTGACAACTGGGAACAGATGCTGAAGGACAAGAGAATATTCTTGACAGCCTTTAATCATGGCACTGAAAGAGGGCAGCACATACATGAATATGTACTGTTGGAGAGCCTAGGTATGAAGCAACATGTTTATCCATGCCATTTGTGAAGGCACTTGCTGGTGATTATTTATGTTTGTAATCATCAGAGGATGGGCTTGTGTTGCCATCTCATTTCTTCTTCGTGTTCACCAACTGGAAGCTCTGGTGAAGTGTTCTGGGTGTTCGTCCACCTCTGGACTTTAGTTTGGCTCCACAATCTGAATGTTGCGTGCAAATCCGTTTCACAGATCTGGCTTATTTGTTTGCAGACTTATGGTTCCTTGCCTCTCAGACAGGTGTACTCCAGCTTCGAAGGAGGTCCCCAATTTGTTGACTCCTACAACATGCTTGTTGGGGAGGCAGTGGGTCTATTCTTGTTTTCCCCACTATGGGAGACTTTTCAAGACTCTTATCATCGCCTCTCTAGAGAGTGAAAATGTAATATATTCAGACTAAGGACAGGGCACTTTGTCAAAAGATGTTCACACTTGTCGATGTAGGAAGCATGGAGACGTGTCCCTGCAGTGTGGCACCCACAAATGTTGAGCATATGCTTCAACACTGTCAACCGTATGCTGCCCCAGAGACACAGTCTGGCCTGTTCAAACACAATGAAGGCAAAGCTGTATGGTACACGAGAAGATATGGACTGCACGATAGCTTTCATAAAGGCTACCGGCCTCCTGATACAAACGTTCTGACAGAAGGATCGAAGAAGAAGACAGGTGAACAGGGTTTCTAGAATTGGCTCCTGTTTGATTCTCCTTCTTCTTTCTCTTTTTCTTCTTCTGCTTCTTCTCCAAGTCCATGCAGTGAGGCGTTAGTAGTCATGTCTATCCACAACATTGTATCTCTTTTACTTCCAATCAACTCTGATACAGATGATCCTCCATGCCATAATGTCAAACTGTCCAACCTCTTTTCTCTGTCTCCCTCTGCCTTGCCTCTCCTCCCCTCCAACTTTCCTACTGTCACGATGTACCCCAGTTTTCGCCTTTTCATCACATGACCAAAGAATTTAGATTTTCTCTTTCTGATGTGGACAATCAGTTCTCTTTGTGTCACTTCATTTCAAGCTTTTTCAAGACATCTTCATTTCTCTTTTCATCTGTCCAGAGTATTCTCATCATTCATGAGATGTTAATATCACAGACTGCCATCCTGGATGTGGGGAAAAAAACCGGAAGAAATGTTGATTAGTGAAGACTTTGACCTTAGACATGGGATACCATTATATATATCTTCTGTGGAATTGTGTAAGAGCAGAAATCTCGCTAATGCAATGGCAGAAGGCTTGTCTATTCAGCGACCACAAGAGCTATGTCGATGGCCACAGACTTGACTGGTTACCTTGGTCGGCGCTACGTTTGGGTTTCAGCAACCTGTTTACCAGCCGTAGATATTCGCCAGATTACCGCAACACAATAACTCGACTGTCCTAAGGATTTCGGGCCCTTTGTAGTTGCGGTATAGTTCTATTATCGCCATTTACAGCATTTGTTCCTACATGGGGGGGGGGGGGGGGGGGGGGGGGGGGGGGGGGGGGGCGCGGGCTCAAGCCGCCGCACCGAAGCCAAAGAAGATGCCGGCCAAGTCTGACCACAGCCACATGGACGCCATTGTTGCAGCTTCTCTACCAGCATCGAAGGAAGGCGCCCCGGACGTGACGCCTCCCTCACCTAACAGAGGGATGCCAACATCAGAAGCCGCCCCCATCGTGGTGCCAGCACCTGAAGCCTCACCTTTCGTGGAGCCAACACCTAAAGGCGCCCCAGTCGTGGCGCAGGGACCTTCCAGCTCCCGTCTACCAAAGCAGCAGCCTGGAGCCTACACCGGAGAAATCATTCAATGCTCACGCTTCAGTAGGGCGTGGCACACAGCCGCGACCTGCCGCAGCACCGCTCTGGTCTACATCACTTCAAGGAGCGCCCCCTGGCAAAACTAGACCAGGATTTCAAGAGTCCGAACACCAACAGATGGTGCTCTAACTGCACAGGCGCTCACAATGCGAGCTATCTGGGCTGCCCGTATTTCAAAGACATGAAGAGAGGGGTGTCCAGTGCCGTATCAAGAAACACGCACCGCCCAAACTCGACAAAAAGGTACCAGGCGCCCAGACCAACCAGCCCGACTGGCACAAACCAGCCGAGAAGCCAGCCCGCCCGACAATCAAAAACCAGAGCACCTGATAAGAAGAACGCAGCCTCCAGAAACCCTGAACTTGTACGTGAAATTTCGGAACTGAGATCCGAACTGAAGAAGGAAAAAGACTCTGCCACCGCCGAAAAAGCTGTGACGCATGAGTTTATCACCATAATTCTTCTTCTGCCTTTCTATCCCCCAATGGAGCATAGGCCCTCAACCAACTCACGCCAAGTCGTTCTACCCTTCGCCATTGCATGGAGCTCTCCCCATGTCCTCCCCATCTTTCTAACTTCATTCTCCAGCTCTCTTCTCCGTGTGTTTTTTTTGGCCTTCCTTTATTCCTATGCCCCTGTGGGTTCCAATGCAAAGACATTTTAGTTATGCTGTTTTCTCAGTGTGTGTCCTATCCAACGCCAGCGTCTTTTCCTCACCTCTTGGTCCACTGGAGCCTGTTTAGTTCTCTCCCAAAGTTCTACATTAGTTATTCTATCATACCATTTAATTCCCTCTATTCTGCGCAGGCACCAGTTGATGAATGTAATTTATTGGTAATTGTCTTAGTTGTTCTCCATGTTTCCGCCCCATACAATAGTGCTGATTTGACATTGGAATAAAAATTTTGGCTCTCCTTTGAATCAACCCCCAAAATGGCGGCATGCCACATTCTGGCCATAAAATTTCCGAACGACGGTTTTCGCGTATATCTAAAATACGGAAATTCTGCCAAGGAACAAATCGCGGCAAAACTAGGATTACTTGACAATATGAACATTGCACACGGTAGTAGTAGTAGCAGACGATAATTTTGAGCATTTCTGCAGACGATACTAGCAGACGATACAAATGCTCTGACAGGATCTCGGCGATACGTTACTTGCCGACCTGCTTGCGAGTGTGCCTCACCGCCGAGAGTATCTCCCGCGCCGCGCGGATGGGGACTAAACTAGGTGCCTGGGACTCACGAGTACAGTAATTGGAGGAAGTTTCAGGAGATGCGGTAGCTGCCGCTCGTGAGTCCCAGCCATCTAGTTTAGTCCCGATCCGCGCCGCGCATGGCGCGGGGGATACGCTCGGTGGTGAGGCACACTCGCAGAAGCAGGTCGGCAAGTAACGTATCGCCGAGACCCTGTCAGAGAATTTGTTTCTTTATCCGGAGCCGGCACATATATTTCTAATAGAACTGACCCGCATTCGGATATTTCTGGATATTTTATGGCCAGAAATTGGCCAATTTAGCTCTTTTTCAAACGCCGTCATATTAAAGCCGCAATTTTGGGGGGTTGATTCAAAGGAGAGCCAAATTTTTTTAGTTTAGTATTTCTTTTAATTTCTTTTGACCTCCACAAATTCCCCAGTGCATGTGCTCCAACACTGTCAACTGTATGCTGACAACAGAGACGCAATCTGGCCTGTTCCAACCACAATGAAGACAAAACTGTATGGTACACGAGAGGATATGGATTGCACGATAGCTTTCATAAAGGCTACCGGCCTCCTGATATAAGTTTTCTGACAGAAGGATCGAAGAAGATGAAGAAGAAGAAGAAGAAGACTGTCCCAGTAAACTAAATTAAAAGCGATGTCTTCATAACTAGGAGCCGCTGTGGTGTCTTAGCTTAATAGATGTTCACCTGCTGAAATCAAGGTCGTGGGTTCAAATATGCATTGAGCCCTTTTATTAGTTTACTGTGTGCCTGCTATGCCACAG